AGCATTCGGCACAGGCGCGGCCGTGGGCAGCACAGCGGTACAGCGGGATCTGGGCCACTGCGCTCCGAGAGGCCACGTACAGCTGGTGCTAGGGGGCACGAGGGGCTCCAAGCTGACCGAGGGGGCCTGTGCCCGCCCCCCATCGGTCAGGGGTCCCTTCCCCACTTGAGGGATGAGAACACTAAACCCGGGGCTTCAAACTACCAAGGGAGGCGTGTGGTGGGGGCTCCCGGGCACCCCCTTGTCCATTCCACTCCTGAGCCTTCTGGTCACTTACCCTCTTGGAGGAGATTTGCATGCTGGTGACAGCGGCAGAGTCCTGAGAGAGAGAAGGGGTGCTGGGGGCTGGGGCTGAGGGGAGTGGGGTCCCCCGATGACGGGCGCTAGGCCTCACCTCAAACACGTGCAGCTCCTCCAGGAGCAGCCCCTCGTCGCTGGGCCGGCTGCCCTTGGGGACCGAGATCACCTTCAGCACCGTGCCAGCGTCTGTGGGGGCGAGAGGGCCTGACTCTGTATCCCCGACAGCCAGGCCGGGCTCTCTTCCCTCCCCCTCGGCGAGGTGGGTCGGTGAGAGTGTGGGGTGGAACCATCGGAGCAGCGCGGGGAGACGGGGAGGGGGCTGAACAAGAGGAGCCTGACCCGTGCCAATGAAGAGGACGTCGTAGTGGCCATCGGCAGCTGCTACTCGGTCTGCAGCAATCTGGGTGAAGGTGTACCCGGCACCCACTTGTAGGAAGAGAGGGCGCCCCCCCAGGGGCAGGATGGAGCTGTACATGAGCGGGTGGTTCCGGGCAAACTGGATGACGTCATCAGGAAAGTCCTTGGTGGAACTGAAGGTACCAAAAGTCTTGCTGGGGCACTGGGGGTGGGAGGAGGCAGGACAGGGACGTGGTATGAGGGCCTGGTGGGCAGCCCTCCACAAGGGGCCTCCCAGCCCTGGAGTGTGTGTGTGGGGGGGGGATTGGGGGTTGGGGGGGACTGGACAGAGCCGCGTCTGGGAATCTGAGAGAAGAGGCCCGGCCTTGCCTTTGGGAATCGGAGGAGGAGACCTAGCCTTCCCCCAGAGAAGCCCTGTCTGATGAAGGTGACCCCCCCCCCCATAACAAAAGGTAGAAACCACATTTAACCAGGAAACCCAGGCCAGGTTCTCCACCCTGAGGCTTGTGGGTTGTGGTGGGGGGATCCCTGGACTACGCACCATGCCGGGCCGGGGGTAGGGGACACGGCCCTGGTAGGACACCCACTGGTGCGTCGGCCCCTCCTTGTGTGCGAAGGGCCCCAGGAAGGCCCGGCGCACGTCGCTCATGCTGTACACGCATACGGCCGAGCCCTGGAAGACGCTGCTGCAGGGGAGGGGAGGACGAGGAGTGACGGGCCCGCGGAGCCAGGCTGCCCCGCGGCCACCTCCCGGCCCTCACCTGGAAGTGGAGAAGACGGCATAGAGCAGCGGGGCCCAGCGGTCCCTGGAGGGCAGCAGGAACACGTCCTCTGTGGGGACGGGGCCTCGTTAGAGGAGGGCACATAGCCCGGCAGGCCAGGTAGGCTCCCGAGTCAGTGCCCCGGCACCCCGCCCCCCACTCCGTCCTCCACGCCTGGCACTCACGGAGCTGGTCAAAGTGTGTGTCACCCTCGATGCCCGGCACTGAGCACACCAGCCGCGCCTTCAGGAACGTGGTCCACTTGTTGACCAGGCTGCGCTGGCCGCCCACGTCATTCTGTGGGGTCAGTTGGAGGGGATGAGGGCCAGGCCCCAAAGGCAACGGGGTGGAGTGGGGCCCGTGGATGGGCTCAGGGACTCCTCACCCGGCAGATCTGGCCAATGCGGGACACGGACCGGCGTCCCAGTGCCTGCGAGGCCTCCACCGCTGACTCGCGGAAGAAGAAGTAGATCTTGTCATCGTCGGGGTTCTCGCTCTCCGGAATCCAGAAGACCTTAATGAACTTGGGTTCTGGCCGCAGGAAGAGTGTGGGGTCAGCGCGGTCCTAGCCCCGGACGCCCCGCTATTCACCCAGGTGCTGCCTCCCCCTCCTCTCCCACAGCAGGTGGGGCAGCATCTGAGAGTACCAGCCTCTAGATTCTAGAACCAAGTTTAGATGGCGCGCTGCGGGCAGAGTCCTGAAGAGCAGGGCCTGCGAGTCAAGAAGCAGCCACAAGAGGGCAGCAGAGGCCGTGGCCACCTGGGCAAGCAGGATGCAGGATCCCCGCCTGTGGCAGGCCTCTGGGGGGTGGGGGGTCCCCAGGCCAGTGGTTGAAGAAAGGATGGAGATGGGGTCTCCGGTTTCACCTCCACTCACGAATCTTATTCTCTAGCAAGAAGCAGATGCCCCACTCCTGTTGCAAACACTCTGCTGGGCCCCATCACTCAGGGTAAACTACCCGGGCCCCTTGTCATTGCTCCCTTCAGAAATCTGTTCCTCGGCTTGTCCCTGCCCCAGGACCTTTGCACTACTTGTGCCCTCTTCTTGGAATGCTCTTCCCTCAGTCCTGCTCTACGTTGGGGATTGGCTCACACCCATCCTCAGCAGAGTGGCTTCCTTTACCCAACCTAGTCACCTCTTCCCTCCTCTCTACGCTCTCATTGGTCTCATGACCGAGAATTGATTTTATTGTGTTAGGAGGTCTGTGAACTCAAGGAGTGCATGATACCGTCTAGCCTTACCCGCAGGGCCTCCCACATGGTAGTCCTTGGTGAGACCTGGCTGCCTCCATCGCTCACTTATTCTGTGGGCCTTACTCAGCACCTGCCCTGTTGGGGATGAGGGTCCCCTCCTGCCACCCCACCAGCCCCTCACCATTGAGCCAGCGGGAGTCGTGGGGCTCAGTTCGGAGACTCGGACGCTGGCCCAGGCTGCGGAAGATGGTGAAGTCCCGGCCCATGAGGTCTGCGGCCACCCCGGAATACAGCTCTTCCCCTGCAGGCAGGGCCAGGGCTCAGCCAAGCTGAAGGCTCTCTGCTGGGGGAACTGTGGAGCTCTGGGGGCTCTTGGGGGACCCCTGGGGCTCTAGGGAGGGTCTTGGGACTTGGTGAGGTTCCAGGAGTTCTGTTGGGAACCCAGCCTTTGGACTCACCCACCAGCACGGAGGCGGCGCGGTGCCTGGGGTCGTAAGGACTCTTGCCCTTGCCGTCCTCTAGCCTCCGAGGGTCCAGGCGGAGCAGGGGCTCCTGGGGGCGGGCAGGTTGTCACTGCCAGGTCCTCCCCCGCCCCCACACCCCTCTGCTGGCTCTGGCCTTACCTCGGGCCGGTGGCCCACCTCCAGGAACGCACAGGTGGGGTGGAAGGCCCCGGTGCCGCAGGCCAGCACGTGGGAGCGGTTGTAGGCGTGCAGCAGCTTCACGAAGTTCATGCACTCGGTCTAGCGGGCAGCCGGGGCGGGGATGGTGAGGCCTCCCCCGGGGGGGTGGCCTTCAGGGGTTCCCGCTCACCAGTGCACCGCACCTCTTCCTTTCTTTTGCATCAGCTCAGGCAAGTACCAGCATGGGCTCCAGGGACCTGGGGGCCGTCGGTGACCAGCCCAGCCCAGCCCAGCCCAGCCCACCTCCCAGCAGAATGGGTACCCGGGGAAGCAAAGGTCTGCGTTGGCCCCTGTGACTCACAGGCCCCCAAGAAGAATCACATGAGCCCCCACCCTGACTCACTACCTCCCGACTCCGCCACCTCAAGCCCCTGCCCCCATCCCGGCTGGAACAGACAGGCCTCTGTTTCAGCGCTGCCCGCCTATGGAGTGGGGGCTGACCCTCCCGCCCCCACGCGGAGCCCACACTCACACCAATGTCCTTCCCGGCCCAGTTGCACTCCTCGCGCCATTCCACAGGCGCTGGCCAGGCCAGCTGGGGGTGGGGGTGGGGGAGAGGGACACAGGTCAGGGGCGTCCGATGCTCTGGGCTGGGTGTCACTCAGGGGCCCCAGCCCCGCTCTCCCGGCATCGGGTGGGCTCCGCGGGGCTGGACGCACCTTCTTGGCATGCTTGCTGATGTTGTCCAGGCTCAGGGAGGCCACGTGGTTCTCCGCGCCCACAAACAGGCGCCCGCGCTCCTCGTCCACCAGCAGGGCCTCGTAGCAGCAGGTCCTCGCCAGCCGGAAGGTCCGGAGACCATGCTGGGCCTGGAGCTCTGCGGGTGGGGACCCGAGAGCGCTGGACGCTTCCTTCCCCCAGGCCCTGTCCGTCTCTCTCTCAGGCTCACACGCGTGTAAGTTCACACACATGTGCGTTTACACCCGCGAAGGCTCACCCCGGTGCACAGCCACCCCCTGCGCCCCTGAGGGGAAGGCAGGCCGAGCTGCTGGGGCGTGCTCGGACAAGCAGTGTCTCCAGGCAGCGCACTGGGGGGCCGGGGCTCTGGGGAGGCCAGGATGGAGGGGAAGCCGGAACCCCACGCCCCAATCCAGGGAGGGCTCTGCCGTCCTGCCAGGAGCCTGGCTCAGTGCCTAGCAACCGCGCCCGGGTAGGGGTGGGAAGGGGCTCTCAGGGCCCCCACATCTCAGCTTCCCTGGGAGTAGGGGATGGTACAGAGGCAGGATCTGTTGCCATGGAGACCGAGGGGTCTTCCTGGGAAAGCAGAGGGGAGTGGGCAGAGGGGCCGGGACAGGGTTAACGAGATGGCCCGAGAGCGCTCCCAGTCCCGGGACAGGTGGCACAGCACAGGCCGCGCCCCGCCCGCCCTGGGCCCCTGCCCCTGCCCGCCAGGTGCACCTACCTTGGAAGGAGAAGCGGAGGCGGGGAGGGCTCGGGGAGGCAGCCCCCAGCACTGCCGTCCAGAGCAGGACCAGGGCTGCGACCATGGCGGCTCCGCCCGCCCGGCCCGGCCCAGGGCGCTCAGGGTCCAGCAGGCTTCGGCAGGCGAGTGCCGGTGCGAGGAGCCTTGAGCCGCCCTGGACTCTGCCCCGGGATCTGGAAGAGAAGGAGTAGCAGCGAGGGCGAGGGCCAGGGCCAGGGCGAGGGCGGGCGGCTGGGGGGAGCCCGGGGATCAGGTTACAGCCCCAGGGGAAGGCGGCTGGGGGGCATTCCCCTTCCGAGTCCTCCCTCCCTGGAGGGTGCCCTGCCCGGCCACAATCACAGGCACACCACGCTGGGCACACCCTCGGGGTCACCCCACACTGGCAGGCACCCGCCCCACCACGTCACCCTCCCCAGTAGCCGGCCCTCCCACAGGCTCACTCACAGGCATTAACTCACACACTGAGGGCCTCCTCGCCAGCCTGGGACTTGGCTGGGACAGTGGGGGACACAGACAAGGTCCCCGTGCAGGAGGGATTCAGGTCGGCGGGTTTCAGAGGTGCCAGGAGCAAAACAAGCCAGTTGTGGGAGTGAGAGCAACGGCGGGGGCGGCCTCAGGTGGCTGCGCCCACAGCCCAGGGACGGGCACCTCTGGGGCCGGAGCCGGTGGTGGGGAGCCTGCGAGTGTGGATGTTCCCGAGGGTCCCGTGTGTCTGTGCTGCACGTGTGAGTGGTGTGTGTGCGTGCACGCGGCCATGTGGCATGGGCGTTGATCACACATGCAGATATGTGGCGTGCATGTGTTCGTGCACACGGCATTGTGTGTTTATGCGGTGTGTGTCTGCGTGGTGTGTGCACTTTGTGGACGTGTCTGTAGTATGTGTGTCACAAGTACGTGTACCTGTATGCACATGCATGTGTGTATGTGACTATCTGGACATGCAGGTGAGCAAAAACACACGCAGTTCACCACTGCCTTCAACTGGGGACACTCCTGGAACCCACTTCTCAGAGGAGCCCCAGGGGTTGGCAGAAGCCTGGTCACAGCCAGACTGCTAGGATGGGGGGCCGCTGGGAAGGGGGACCGCTGGGATGGGGGGCCG